GTTTTATTTTGACAGAGCCTTGATGCATGGGCCATGGTGGGGATAGGGGCTGCTGACAGGGACAGCTTGAATATTGATGCCTTCGACTCAGCCTGATCCTGCAGTGTAGACACAGTCCTTTGGCTCCTAGCAGGACCACAAAGAGAAGCTGCTGGCAAATCGTGGCTACAGCTGCTGTTGTCACACACAGCAAGTGCTGCACTGGACCAAAGTCTGCGGTTTGCTCCTTGCAGGGACTGCCTTCACTGATTTGGTTTGCAATGTCGCTCATCTCTCCAGGAACCCAGAGCAAGAAGCCTAGGATGAGGTTGAATGCAGAACTTTCTGCACATGTGGGCAGGCCCTGCAGCTGCCCCTCATATTTGTTGGGGGTAGAGGGTTCCCTCTGGCTCTGTGCGCGTGTAAGTGTCCACTGTCCGGGGCCATGTGTCTGCGCACCTGTTTGGAGGCCTGCGGGAATGTTTCTGGTGTGAACGAAGGGCCCCTCCTTGCCTTGGCCAGGCTCCAGCTGCTTTGTAATTGGGCAGAGCTGAGGAAAAACTGAGCTGGGAAGGCCTCACTACCATCTCTCTTTGCAGCCCACCTTCTTTTGGGGTTGGTGGTATGACCACCATTTTGAACTGTGCCCTGCTATAGGGTACTCTGTCACACTACACCCAGAAACTCAGAATCATGGGCTTTAGACCCTTATGTGTCACTAATGGCCTAGCCTTCATTGCTTTCTGGAAGAGCTGGGCTCACATGGCCCAGCAGCTTTAGGGTAATATGACCTTAACCCCAAATTGACAGGGTAGGACAGGCCCTCCTCCTCTGGGCATGCCATGTGGCTGTCACGGAGCTGAGGCCCTCTCATGCTAAGGCCCACAACTTGTTCCCTAGGCTGGGCCACACACATGGAACCCCCTGCTTTCAGGATTGAGGAGTGCAGCCTGTAGGAGGCGGGGCTGCCAGGCTGGGTTCTCTTTCAGTGCCTCCCTCCTGGCCTCTACCCCTCACCCCATTGTTGTCTTTCTGAGCTTCTTGTTGAGTCCAGGTTCTAAGGGAACCAGTGCTGACTTGGGGGAATAGCACACGGAATAGTTGACAGATTTAAACCTCCAGAGACGTCTAAGCCAGGATTGCTGAGTTCCTGGGGAGCTGAGCAGTGGGCCTAGGAAACCCCAGCAAATGGCTGTCCCTTAGTCTTGCTGGGCCAGAGCTCTTTAGCCCAGTCTGAGGATCAGTGTCCCTGAGGGGCCTGGCCCCAAGCCCTTCTGAGACCAGGATAGGCAGAGCTTCTACATCACAGATCTCACTGTGAAACCAGGATCTCGCAAAGTGGCCTCCCCCATGGGAGCATCTGTGGACCATTTGCAGGTGTGTCTCTGGAGGGGATGCCTCAGGAGGATTTGAAAGTAGGGCACATCCTCCCTGTGCATCAGCAGAGGAGCAGGGAACAGGGAACAGGCCTCCCTGAGGGGCTTTGCTTACCTCACTAGTGAGCCTGCAGCAACTTCCGCTTTCCCAGGCCTGCCTCCTCATGCTGCTTCCTTTGCTTCCCCCAGCTCTGGGCAGCATGAAGGGATATTCAGGAAGGGAAGCAGTCTTGCTACCACTCCCCCTGCCAGTACCATCTTTTCCCTCTCCCTGCCCGTCTGCTCCCATCCTTCTGTCTGCCTACATTTTGGAGCAGTTCCCGTGCCATTTGCTTAAGTTGAATCTTGAGTGGGGTGGGTGGGGTCAGGCTGAGCCCACTCATTGTCTGTGCTGCAGCTGCTCCCAGCAAACTGTTGTCTAGACCGTGCCTGTGCGTAGGCGCTTAGGCAGCATCTACACAGATATGAAGAGGCCTCCTCAGTGCTCTCCAGGGAACCGGGGAAAGAGAGGAGGTTTAGTGCCCCAGGGAAGAAGGAGAACAGCACCAGAATGGCATGAAACCAGCTTATCTACCAAGGCAGGGGCAGCTCCAGCACAAGGCTGCTGACCTGGTAAGAACCGTCAGCAACTGGAGGGAAGGCATCTAGCCATTCATGCTGGGCCAGGCACTGAGGGTACAGTGTGGTGTGTTTTGTTTTGTTTTGTGGAATTTTTAGTCTAGTAGTAGGGGAAAGACATTAAGCGTATATAAATACACAAATACATAATTGCAAAATATGGAAAGTGCTCTGAATGAAAATGACAGGACACCGAGTGAGACTAACTGGGACTCACTGGTAGGGAGATTATCAAGTAAGGCTTCTCTGAGGAAATGATATTTAAGTTGAGAAAGATGCCTACAAGTTCGCCAGGCAGAGTGTGGGAACACTGTTTCAGATATATTACTGCCCAGATTTTTAATATTTTTCTAGAAGCAGTTTCATTTCTCCCTGCTTTTGTATGAATGACTCTGAATCAGCTTTTAGCATGAGCTTCTTTGGTAAAAGTCACAGCTGAGCCTAACCATGGCTTCCGCTCCTTCTGGGGATTACCAGGGCCTGCTGAGTTACATGGTTCTAGTTACTCTTAGAATGAAATCATGGGTTTGCTCCACAGTGGCACAGCTCCGAAAACAAATTAAGGCTTGATGGGTGGCCTGGACTAGAAGTACCATCGAGCCATCTCCTGCTTTCCAGTCCACTGCATGGAATCAGTCCCCTAGGGTTTAGAATAAGGGCCAGAATGGCAGCATGGGAAGATTTAACCTAACTAGTGTCCCTGTTCTCACAGTAGGGGCAACCTTCCAAGAGTGACAGCAAAAACAAACTAAAGGAAAGGAGAACTATTTGACTACATAAACATTTAGTCTTTTTTTTTAATTTAAAAAAGTTAAAAGATTAAGAAAAACTACATCCTATGTTAGTTATAGCCTTAATATATAAAGAGTTTCGAAAAATCAAGACTAATACACAAACAAAGCAGTAAAAAATGGAAAAAGAATATGAACTGGAAATTCATTTAAAAAATAATACATACAACCAGTAAGCATGTGAAACAAGTTCAACATCATGAATAATTAAGGAGTTATGAATTTAAACAATGATATACTTTTTATTGCCCATCAAATTGGCAGTCTTTAAAAATAAGAATATAGTCCTGAGACTTACTCGCCCACACCACTAATGGATATAAATTGGCACAGCCTCCCTGGGAGCAGCCTGGCAGTGTGTGTCAAACATCTTTTAAAATGTGCATCCCATTTGACCCTGCAGTTGCACTTCTTGGAATTTATCCTGAGGGAGAAATACAAGTTTGCCAAGCTGTATGTGCATAACTGTTAGTAAAAATACAAAAAAAAATGGAGAGAATCTAAATGTCCATGAATAGGGGTGTGATCCAATAAATTGTGATATATTTTTTCCAAGGAGATTGTAGCTATTTCAAATGATGCTACGGAAGAATATTGTCATTCAGGGTTGTTAACAGTGGTGTTTTGTTGTTGTTGTTGTTGTTTTTAATGGATTTATTGAACTGTAGCTCACATTCACTCTCATAATGTATTTTAGGTGGGAGAAAAAGAAGCTTACAAAATGATATCACAGAGTCGTTCAAATTTTTGTAATGCAGACTGTAAGCACACACACATACAAACATACACACAGGAAATTCTGCTTGAATGTTAACAGTGATTACATCCGGGTACGTTTTTTCCTTATTTTTTCATGTCTGTGTTTTCTAATGTTTCTGCAGGGAATGCCAGTTACTTTTGTATGAAGAAAAAAAATTACAGAAGTTTGGGGCTCAATGATCCCAAGCCCTTTGTGAAAGGGTAAAGGTTATACTCCTGATGTGGCCGTCAGGCCCCCTGGATCGGGCCCTCGCCCCTTCTCTGGGTCAGCGCTCTCCATTGCCTGTTTCACACTGTGTACTCTAGCGACACAAACTGCTTGGAGTTACTTGTTTGTGTGTCATTTCTTACCTCTGTACGTTCGCTCATCTAGGTCGCTACTCCTGGAATGACTTGGCCTCTTGCGGCCCACTCTAGTATCACCACCTCAGGGAACCGCCCCCTGATCCCCCACCCACACCGGGCCAGGGGCCTTTTTTGGGATTGGGCAGCCAGCCTTCCTCAGGCATCTGTGTGACCCTCTTCCTTCTCTGTGTAGAACTCATCTGTGTCCATTTGTTTCCCCATTCCACCTCAGGGACACTGCATTCCCAAGGTGTTAACTATAGAGAGCTGGAAGGAGTGACTCTCTTCTTAAATCCATGTCTGGAGGTTGATGTCTTCTGAAGTCTGGCTCGCGTGTCCACCTTTTATTTTTACCGTGGAGGAGATAGGGATTACTAGGCAGATCAAAGTGCTCACAACCTCCATTGGTATCCTTTAACTGTCTCCTAAATGCATAATATATATTTTTCTTAAAGTAATTAAAGAAAATTTTGAAAATAGGAGAAAAGGGAAAGAAAGCAAAACCCCACTTGACAACTTTGGAGTATTCTTCCGACTGAGAGGACCTAAGAGTCAGGAGAGTTGGAGAGAGGAGATCCTCAAGGCAGTCATCCACATACTTCATGGGCAGAGGAATCCCTGGGCCTCATGTTCATCATGCCATTTCTGGCACAGAGATCAAGTCACTGGGGATGGAGTGGGACACAGAAATTAGCACCTCCGGCCACTTGGCTATTGGTATTTTTGGGGAAATCCTCACTTTAGGAAGTCACAGAGAGGGCTGGCTCTCCTCTCCGTCTCTGCGGTGGCCTCTCAGGGGCCCCAGTTTAATCTGCAGAAAGCCCAGTGTCATCCTCTCTGCATTTAACTGGCCCCTTTGAGGCAAGCTGGCTGCCCACCTCTGTAGCCAATACATGCTGTCTTAAAGTACACCCACCTTGAGCCCCTAATTAATCTCAAGTAAAGGAGCCATGGTTCTTTGTCACTGGGAACCTTCAGTGCTCCTCTGGGAGCGAGAGGAGGTGGCAGCAGCAGTGGGAACAGCAGCAACAGCTGTCTGACGCATCCTCAAGTCAGAGACTTGGAGTCTGGGTTAACGTAAGGAAACTCGCTGACTTGCTCAGTGAGAAGAGCTCTTTTCTGTCTTGTCTAGAGCTGAGAATGAAGCGGAGAGCATCAGACAGAGGAGCTGGAGAAACGTCGGCCAGGGCAAAGGCTCTAGGAAGTGGGATTTCCGGAAATAATGCTAAGAGAGCTGGACCATTCATCCTGGGTAAGCTTCTAACTGTTGGGTGAGTAGGGGTGCTGGGGGCAGAGGCAGGGTGCACTGGTGTGCACAGTCTAAACAGCAGAAAAGCAGAATAAAGCATCACACCTACCACAGTGTGGAGTCCTGACCAACCCTCGGCCTGGCCCAGCTTCACCGCTTTAACTGGATTCTGTGTATGCCAGTAGAAGATCTGTAGCCTGAGGTTGCTCCGTCCCAAGAACTGTCATTTTTGCTGTAGCTGCACCAGCCTTAGATCATTCTCAGCTGAAAGCTAGACTGTGTCTTCCCTCAGGGCATCCTATATGTACTCCCCAGGATGCCACCCTCGAGAATCACACAAGCTGTGTTAGAAGCCAAGGGCCGTCATCCAGGACACTTCTTGGGCCATTCTTGGAGGGCACTATTAATTTCACAATGTGTTTGTAGAGCCCCCAAACTTCTTGTAAAATTGTCACAGAAATTTTGTAGAATCGGGTGATCCCAGTGGTCTAGAGGAGCAGCAGGGCCTTTCTGCATGATGTTAGAAGCCCAACAAGTCCAGATTGCTTATGCTTAGGGTTGTAGATAGGGTGGGCTCTGAGGACCCCAACTTTCCTAGCAGCCAGAGACCAGGTGTGAGTTTTGCTGGGAGACAGCATCTTGGGCTTATAGGCACAGGATAGTCCCAGCTCCAGTCATTCAGCAAGTAGTCAATGGTGCCTATTCCGTGCCAGGCCTGTGCTGCAGGGATGCAGCAGTGAATGAGACAGACAAGTTCTTGCCCTCATGGAACTTAACATTCTAGTTGCAAAAAGAAGAGAGTAAACACACAAGATCACCGCTGGGGGTGGTAAGTGCTTTGAAGTCAGTAAACAAGATTCTGTGAGAGTAAGAAGGGCCTACAGATAGTGAAGACAAGGAAGATTCTGTATGAGGAAGCAACCTTTGAGCTGACAACCAAGGGTAAGAAGGAGCTAGCAGGGGAAAAACATTCTAGACAGAAGGAACAGCAAGTGCAAAAGCCCAGAGGCAGGAAAGGGCTGAATGTCTTAGGAATTAAGAAGCTAGTGTAGCTGGAGTATGGCGAGAGAGATGGAGAAACAATCAGTTAGAGAGATGGACAGGAACCAAATCATGTAAGACCTTACAGGCCAAAGCGGGGTTTGACTGCATATTATGAGCAGTTGGGCACTGTTAAAGATTTTTTAGCAGTGCATTTACATGGTAACATTATCTGATTTATGCTCTGAAAGCTCAGGCAGGACGCTGAGGGCGTTGTCACAGGACAATGAGCAGTATACAGCTCTAGAAATATAGAAGTTCCCAAAAGCTGGTACTTGGACCAGGGCCAGGTGGCTGTATCAGACTACCGGGGAACCTGCTCCAGCTGTACTTTCCTGGATTCTCACCCTGGAGTTGCTCACTCAGAGGGGCCAGATTGCAGCCAGGAGCTCTTTTTTTAACATGCTCCTCAGAGATTCCAGCCTGCTCCCACTGTTGAAAATCCCTGTTTTTGAGAAATATGCCTGTAAAAGCCAGGTGTACATCATGCAGATGCACACATACCCTCCATTTTTGGAGAGGAGACTGTGAGAACTCTCCACCCAGAGACTCTGAGGGGAGAGTTCAGTGGACGTGAACTGTGGTGCCCACCTACAGAAACGAACTAGCCAAAAGACCACATGGTGAACATGGTGCCGTGACAGACAAGGCTGCTGAACAGTAAGCTAGCTGCTCTCTGTGCCATAGGTCCCCGTCTGGGTAACTCACCGGTGCCAAGCATCGTGCAGTGTTTGGCGAGGAAAGATGGCACAGATGACTTCTATCAGCTGAAGGTAAGTGAGGCACCAGGGGCGGGGGTGGCTGGGCACCCAGGGCCATCCTGCCAACCCAGCTCCTCCCCCTCTCCACTTTCACACCTACACCACTTGTGAGCAAGAGTGGCACCATTTCTTCCTGAGAGGCAATCAAGTTCACACAGCCTCACTCTGCACAACTCCCGATTTAAAGAGCTTTATCTGTGCATAAATTACATAGCTGTCACATTAAGAAAAACGGTTTCACTTCGTATGTGCATGTGTGAGTGTGTGTGCAAGTGTTGCATGGTAGAATGTGAACCCCATGCTTTTCCTGTTCGGTTCCTTCTACTTTGTAAAGTAAGGATTTGGGGGGTTATTTTTTTTTTATGTGTGTGCCGTCCTAAAGATCCTTACCCTTGAGGAGAGGGGGGACCAAGGAATAGAAAGCCAAGAGGAAAGGCAAGGCAAGATGCTGTTACACACCGAGTACTCTCTGCTTTCCCTCCTCCACACGCAGGATGGCGTGGTTCACCACCATGGGCTCTTCCAGGTGAGTGGCTGCCCGTCCCCTCTTCCCCCTGTCCCTCCACCTTGGGCTGGCTACTTGCTGGGTCCACATCTGTACTTTGAGCAGCTCACCCATGCGACCCCCTGGCATCCCTGCCTGCTGGGTGCATCAGGACTTCCTGGACCGGGTAGGCTGGAGGCCATGCTGGGCCGGGCCAGCTGCTGCAGTGCTCCTGCTGTGAAGATCACAGCCTGGTGGGAAGGCACACAGCTCACATCTTACAGCCTTTCTTTGAAGGGCCACTTTTCCGAGAAAAGAGGAAAGCAGAAAGTCATTTAAAGACACACAGACTCTTACTACTGCGTTTTCAGGAATTGGCCAGGCCAAGGTAGAAGGGAGGGCAGTGAGGGAGAATGGGCACTTGGGGCCACCTCAGTTGTTTTGATACCAACAGTCCTGCCTTCTACGGGCATTTCAGTTTGTTCAGCAGTTGTCCCTGAGCCCCTGTGCTCCAATGTTCCAGGTCCCTTAGGAAAGGTACTAATTAGCAGTTCATATCCTGAAAAGAGCCCTCCTTGGGGCAGAACTGAAATTGTGTCTCCAGAAGTGAAGAAGGAGGTTCAGAGTGCCCAGGACCCCAGCTGAGCCTCTGCAGTGCCCTCAGCCAGATGTGCTGGCCAGGGTTCCCCCTTGCTCGGATGGACCTGGTACTCGAAAGGTAGCATGGTGTCAGGGAGCCAGCAGCCCTGGATTCAGATTGTGTGACCTCAGGCAGGTCACTTCAGGTCCCTGAACCTGAGATTCTTCACCTGTAAAATGATGCCCACCTCAAAAAGAGGGCGGGACGGTGAATGAGAGTGTAGAAAGCACCGAGCTGCACCGGGGCACTCTCATCACCGTTGTTATGTCAGGCAATAAAACTCTTTGTCAGCTTGATTCCTGAAATAAATAAAAATGCCTCCCACCCTCACACATACACCCCACCATGGTCTTTATTCTGAGATGTGCAGTGAGAGGCAGCTAACTCACAGTATCATTAGGCAACTCTGAAAATCAGTGTTTCCCTTAAACACGAAGTCAAGCTGAGGCTGGTTGTGATTTCTTGGTACTTCACTCCTGATAGCTTCCAGAACGTGGCCTTGGCTTATGTGATTTTGAGTAGGAGAACCTGGGTTATTAGAATTTCTAGAGTCATCTGTGTGCCAGACACTGTGCTGGGCCTCTGGGAAGAAAAAATAAAAGGTGCAAGCCTGCTCTCAGGAGAAATGTGGATATGCAGTCCCCAGGAGTTCCCCAGACGCGACCAGAGGTGACCACGACCATCAGCCTACTGGGGATGACATTGAGAGGCATCCTCAGACTGGATGAAAGTCCCCATGTTGTACCTGTTTTTTGTTTTACTTTAAATACCTTTTCAGCAAGGAAGTGGGTCCGGAGCTCGCACCCGCCATGTTGGTAGCAGTGCCTACCCACTGAGCCCTGGCAGGGGCAGGAGTGGCATCATTCCGGGCTGTCTTATTCTCTCAATAACCTGTGAAGTAGGGGTTGCTAGCTCCCTTTTGTAGATGAGGAACCAGACACTTGAAGAGGTTAGGTGACCTGCCCCCAGGTCCCAAAGCTAGGACAAGGTAGAGCCAGGGGCTAAACCCAGCGGTCAGGGATCAGAGCCATACTCTTAATTACTGTCACATGGCTGCCCAGGAATCCAGCTTCCATGCGAAGCAGTTGTCTTGGACACAGAACACTTCACCATCTTGCACGTTGGAAGGAAGTGTAGAATGGTCATTGCTGGAATCCCTGGGGTTCCTTGGAGGGGAGGATGCCCAGGGCCCTGGCTTTATTGCCTGGACACTGGGCTCATGGGGCCCTTTGGCTTTAAATGCCCATCCCTGATCCGAACCCTTTGCATTAGGATCAAAGTATAAAGCCTGTACCCGAGCAACTTCAACCTCGGCCCCTGGCTGGGCCTGGCACTGGCACATGGGAAGCCGGGCATTGCCAAGTGGCCCTACGGTCCATGCTACCCAGGCCTCAGGCCTTCACTGCCCACATGCATGCAGGCTTGTTCCAGGATCTCTCATCACCTTGCGTGTCCAGCTCCAGAGGGGAGTCCCAAAGGCCTGGCCCCAGCCCTGCTGGGCCCACAGCAAGCCCCATTTCCCCGCTTGCCTCCCAGGACCGCACCTGTGAAATCGTTGAGGACACAGAGTCCAGCCGAATGGTTAAGAAGATGAAGAAGCGTATCTGCCTTGTCCTCGACTGCCTCTGTGCACACGACTTCAGCGACAAGACCGCTGATCTGATCAACCTGCAGCACTACGTCATCAAGGAGAAGAGGCTCAGTGAGCGCGAGACCGTGGTCATCTTCTACGACGTGGTGCGTGTGGTGGAAGCCCTGCACCAGGTGAGGCTCTGCAGCACCGCAGCCCCTCCTCCTCCGGCTCCAGAGCTTCCTGGGCCTCAGTGACAGAGCGGCCTGTGGGCCCCATGTGCCACAGAAAGCCACTCCTCCTGCTGCTGCTCAGCGGAAGCAGCTCTGTCCTGCTCCCATCCAGGTGTGCTTTGCAGCTAGAAGTATCCAGAAGGAAAGTGGCTGGATGACATGTGCACCTGATGAGGCACAGTGCTGCAGACCTCAGCACGATCCTGGGGACGGTGTTCCCAGACGGGCAGCTGAGCAGGACCCAGTGCAGTGATTCCCTTTCAGTTGAGAGGCTAAAAATGAGGCTCCCAGCTTGAGCTACAACTGTGAGATATCCACTGAGGGGTGGCCACAGCCTGTCTCTGAGCTTTCTGTAGGGTTGGGGGAATCAGGTACTCCGAGTCCAGGTTAGGAGCACCTCTTCGAAGCATACAGCATCTGTGGGCCAAGCCTGCTGTACTTAGTCACCAGTCATGAGAGTTCATCTCTGACCCCAGATCCAGACAGATGCTTAGTTTCTTTGTTTTTTGTTTTTCAAATGGGATCTTTGGGGTTTTTTTTAAATTAATTAATTTTTTTATGGTGACATTGGTTTAAAAAATCCAATAAGTTTCAGCTGTACACTTTTAACAGTAAGGCATATATATATTTACATTATGCGTTCACCTCCCATAGGTAGATTTCTTTCTGTCACCACATATTTGACCCCCTTTACCCTGTCTACCTCCCTGAAATGAGATGTTTGATAGAAGTGGAGAAAGGACTGATTTTCCCCCGTTGGCTGCTGCTCTGAGGCGAGAAAGAGCTGGGAAACTGCCCTGAGTGAGACAGAGATTGCCTGCACTCAATTATCACCCCCTCCGTACACTGATGAGCCCTTAGAATGGTCCTGGCCTGTCTATGGCTTACAAATGAAGGCAGGAGCCTGAGGAGACATGTCACAGAGCTTTTTCCTGCCTTCCCAAACACCTGGAGAGCCACATCTTACAGGCTGGGACCAACCCCGGCCCTTAGTACAAACCATGTGCCTGTTGTCTTCCAGAAAAACATTGTGCACAGGGACCTGAAGCTTGGGAACATGGTGCTCAATAAGAGGTAAGATCCGCTTTTCATCTTGGAGTTGGAACAGGTCACATGCTGCGACTACCCTACCCCCATGGGGGTTCTGACTCAAAACAGCCCACTTCTCCCAAGAATCCCAGTGGGCGAGGACGTGATATCTGCTTCTGTCTAATGCCACATAGGAACATGGTGCTTGCTAGGAAGGAGTTTCAAAGGCCACAGACAGAGAGTTCTGGGATGGATTTCAGAAGTCCTTCCGAGTCCATTAATTGGTCATGCCTACTAGGTACTCAGTAAATGACTATAAACAATGGACAGATGGATAAAGGAATGACATGAGCAAAATGAGGCTGTATCATAGGCCAGGTTCCTGGAAACAGACTCGGATGTGCGTGCAGGAGGTGTACTGGGGATTGCTCTTGGGAAGGAGGGGGCTGGATTGGGCAGATGGAGAAGGTGAACTGTGGTGCTGCCCTGATAGGGTCACAGCCTAGAAAGCTCGAGAGTTAGATACCCCTTCAAGTGTCCCACATCAAGGCAAGGGGGCATATTGCCCTGTATCTTCACTGCTGCCAGCCACTGAATGTGGGCTGTGCCTGGGGTGGGGCGTATCCTTAAGCAAGGCCTAGGTGACTTTCCAGAGAAGGACACAGCTATAAGTAGTCAGAAACCAATACTCCCAGCAGCAGAGAGAGAATGCCTCAATCTTGAATGAGATCTGGGCAACTCACCCCAGCACCCCAGGGAAGCAGTGGCAGAGGGAGATCATGAGAGGCCCCAGTCTCAAGCTGTCACCCCACTCAGGGAGAGGGTTTGGGCCCTTTCCAAGTGATCTAGGGCAGCGGTAGAGGGACATCAACCATGCAAGGGCCAAGGACTGATGGGAGGAGGGCTCACTCTGTACGCCACGATCCAAGAAACACAGTGCTAGGAAAGGCACGTCCCCTACACCCCCTCTCCCTGAGCCTCTCTCACGCTCTCATCCCTCTCACCTCCAGGTGTTGAAGTGGGCGGGAGGGCTTACAAATGGCAGGCAGCATAAATCTCAGCAGAAGTACTGTGGTGGGGGGTGATTTGTTCCATAATGTGGTCACCCACCCAAGGGGGGCCACTGTCCCTATGAAGTGGCCAAAGCCACAGCAGTCACAGGAAAAGAAGCTGCAGGGAGATGGGCCTCTGGGGAGGGGCGTGGGGGCACCAACCAGACCCTGCAGTGCCAGCCTGAGAGGCCATGGGAGGATGCTGCTGCACCTCAGTGGCTCAGCCTGTCTCCCGGAGCTCACCGTGGGCTGCAGCACCAACCAGAAAGCAGATATCACTGTATTGAGAACCAGTGTGCAGAGGGCTGTGAGCCAATGAAGCGGGGCAGCGATTCAGCCGTCTGAGTCAATTTGTGAAGGATGAGTAAAGATTTGTCAGCCTGAGAAGTGAAGTGATGAAAACCTGACCCTGTTGTGCTCGGCCAGGAGGAGGGAAGAAAATAGAAATACTTGAACCCTTGACTAGCTGAATGAGAGAGTCAGGGAAGCCAGAGGAGCAGGACTTGGGGGTCAGACATGGCTCCCAGCCCAGCACTGCCTCTTAATTACCCCTTGCGACTTGAGAGAGTGTTTGTTGGGTTATTTATCCATTGACTAATTCATTCATGTGCTGTGGAGCTGCTATGGTACCCAGCATTTCCCTGAGCTTGCATTTCTTCATCTGTAAGCGTAGAGGTGATTATACCTTCCTGCCAAGATTGACCCAAGACGTGAAACTGCCTCACAGGGTTCAGCCCTCGTCAGCGCACCCCCATGCTAGACCAGCCAGGGCCTGTACACACGCTTCCCTCGGGAAATGAGGCCCGCTGTGTATTGAGTGGCTGATGAGGATGCCGGTGGTGAGGGCCCAGGGCGCATCAGCCCCAGCTCTGAATTGCATGAGGAGGGCAGGTAGCAGAGAACAGGGACCATCCCAGCCCTGAGGGCAAGTGGTCTCAGTGTCCCTGACCTTCTGTGGGATGTTGGGCTGGTCATCATCCCCCTCTGGACTTCAGGCTTATTGTTCACAAAGAAAGGGCACATTTTTTGAGCACTTGAGGCCATGTGGCTGCAGAGTCCCCATCCTCTGCAGCTGTCCCCAGAGCAGTTCATTGGCTCTAAAGAGCACCTCGAGGGTTGTTATGGGAATGCACAATCGGTGCTCCTGCCCGAGACCACGCCAGTGCTCCAGGCCTCTGTCTCTGTGGTGGGTTCACTTCTCACTTCTCCAGGCCCCCTAGGTTCTGGGAAGGTACTCAGGAGGTCACACTTCTCCTAAGTAACACCAGCGTCGTTGCAGCAGCTCTCCTGTGTGTGCGTGCACGTGTGTGTGTTTTCCTCGGATTACAGAGCGCCAGTACTTCATTCAGACCCTACATCTTGGCTGCACTCGTTTAATCCAATCCCTTTTTTGTGTTGGGGCAGACAGAGGTTCTGGCCACCCCTCACTTGAGTCATGGATGTTCCAGAAGGGGGCAGGGTGGTGTGGTAGAGAGAGACCCACGCTGAGCGCCCAGGGCTTGCTCTTCATGTGTCTGTTGGGCAAACCTCTCCTCTCAGGGCCTCACTTTCATCCTTTCCTAGTCGAGAGGCCACCTGGAGGAGCTCCTGCCCGTCAGGCCAGGCCCTAACTCCAGCTGGAGAGGCAGGCGGACAAGCTGGAGGCCTTTGTCTAGTCCTCACAGCAGAACAGAGCACTCCCAGGGGAGGATACGGGGAGAAGTGTTTGCGAGGCAGCTGCAATGACAAGCTCATCCTGCTTTGGATAAAAGGCAAGGGTTGAAATCTGAAATCCCCTTTTGGGGTTATGTGAGGTTTGCTGTGGGTTCTTCTTCCTCCTTTCTTTTTGGGTAGGCAAGTTGCACACCAAGTTCCTAGAAAAGGAGAAAAACACTGTGGTAGCCCAAAGGGCCATAGCTAAAGAGTGACTCACTCAGAGCAGATCCTGCTGACACAGAGCTCCCTCCCTTCATCCCTGGCTGCCCTCACCCCCTCCTGCCAGGACAAGCCTGGGGGGTCTGGACTCCCAGAGAATCTGTGTGCTACCCGGCCAACTTGGGCGGTGGTGGCTGGGCAGGGGAGTGTCGCCAAGCTTCAGGAGGTCTTGGAGCTGACCGTGTGGTTTCCTGTGGGAGAGACTCCAGGATCCTTAGCAGGCAGAGCAGTGCAGGCCAAGTGGGCCTGCTGCCAGCCCTGCAGATTCTCAGCGATTTTCTTTCAGCCCCCACTGCCCTGCCCCCTATACAGAGAGCTGTCAAGTCCTGCCACGGAGTGGAGTGAAAGGCTCAGCCATATTTGCACGTGCACTCCAGGGCCTGTGGTCACAATGTGGCACTTCTCTTTGGCTGTCTCAGAGATGATGTCTTTCCCAATGTCTCCTGTTGATAGCCTCTGCCAGGTGTGCCTGCTGTCTGAGGATGACATCCTAATCCAAGCTCACAGTTAGTAATCAGTGACTATTCACCAGGCCCCGGGCTCAGAGCTTTCCCTGGGATTAAATTCTTATCTTGTCGAATCCCAACACAGTCCTAGGAGTTAGGTGCTAATACTTTCCCTGTTTTACAGATGAAGAAATTGAGGTTTAGCAACAAATTAAATAACATGCCCAAGACCACACTGCCCGTCAATGGCAGAGGCAGGATTGGAACCCAGGAATCTGACTCCCAAGCCCACCAGACTCTCCCCAATGTCTTGTTGCCAGCTGCAGCGGCCATCTGAGCAAGGGGAGGAAATGCAGTGCTTCTGCTCTGGGGCGACCTTGCGGATCAGAGGCCTAAGTAGTCCCTCATTCAGGACGATGACATGGGCGGTTCAGAGCTGGAGCAGTTCGCTTCTTGATGTGCCCATGATCCTTGGCCAAGACCCCTGGCCTGCACTCTCAGGCTCTAGCTGCCCTGAGGCCACTGGTCAGATTTCTGTGGCATCTTGCAGGGCAGCCTGTATGGAGAGGAGAGTTGACATTTCCATTTGGAATGCAGAGGACAGACTGGCCTTTGTTTTGCACCAAGCCCTGTGCCAGCAGAATTCCCCAAGATAGCTGAAGGGCTCTGGGAGCCTCTTGGACGCAGCTCCTGGGGAATTCCACCTCAGCCCCACACACCCTGCACCTCTGAGCTGACCCTCCTCTCCACCCTTGAGAGGCAGCTCAAAGCCCCTCGTGTAGCTTCGTTTCCTGTCATCCTCCTTGGCTTCTCTGCCAACAGGCTAACATGGGAGCTGGGCAGTGGCCCCTGCTCATCCATTGGCAGAGAGGTTCCCTTCCTCACTGGCCATCTCCTACAGGGCCGAGAAGCCTTTCCTGCTCTCCCCACCCCACATCCCCAGGTGTGGTGTAAGGAGTCCTTTCAGGGCCACTTCCTTTTGCCGCCATTGTGAGCCTCCTAAAAAGGGTCAGAGCTCAAGCTGCTCTCCAGCACAACTCTCACATGGTGGGGATCTGGTTTTCTAAGTCAGGGCAGAGTATGAAGTACAAGACAAGGGTGAGTCAGCTTTGATGGAAAGGAAAGGAAAGCCAGGGGCTGGGCACTATCCAGGGACACAGTGGGCACCCGGCTGGTGTCAGTCCAAAGGGCAGGCTCTGGAGTCAGACAGACCCAGGTTTGGATCCTGCTCCACCACTCACTAGCTGTGTGACCCTGGGCAAGTCCTAGCACTACTTCTCTATGGCTTAGTTGCATCATCTGTGAAATGGGGCATGAGAAAGTCTCCCTCTTAATCTGTTGTGAGGAGTGAATGAAAATAGTCCACGTCAGACACTGAGGCCAGGGCCCGCCCCTACTAAGTGCTCAGCACACATTGGTTTTTAGCACTGTCAGTGATGATGATTGATAATGACAGTGGTGATGACCAGAAGAATCAGGCTCCAAAGCTCTGCTGGGTGTCCTTTTCTCATGTGTAAATGAGGGCCTTGAAGTCACCCAGGGTGGCAGGTTTAGGGGAGCTCCCCTAAAACCTCACCTGGTCGGCATGACTCAGAGCCCTACGAGACAGCTCAGCAGGTGGCAATCAAGGGTGACTAACTGGCCAGTGTCAGCACCCCAGGCACTCCCCACACTGCCATGGGGAAGGCAGTGAGGACAAAGGAAGCAGAAAGGACGTGGGCATGTTCCTTTGCTCTCTAGACAAGGGATGAGGGCAGCAGGGGTGCCTGTGGGGACAGGCACCAAGGTGTATTCACTCTCTGCCTCCCACTCCCAGGACACATAGGATAACCATCACCAACTTCTGCCTCGGGAAGCATCTCGTGAGCGAGGGGGACCTGCTGAAGGACCAGAGGGGGAGCCCTGCCTACATCAGTCCAGACGTGCTCAGCGGTAGGTGCGGTGTGCAAGGCAGCGGTCCGGGCCGTCTCACAGCCAGGCCCTGCGGCCTCTCCTTCATTCAGCAAACCCTATCTTTCGGCCATGCCACCCTGAACGTGACCGATCTCATCTGATCTCGTAAGCAAACCCTATCTGTGGGCCTCAGTGGCGGCCCAAACCAGTACTGTCCCTCTGGGTACAAAGTTGAGGTCTTATGAAGGATGAAGACAGTAATCATCACACCAGTGCATGTTTAATTACTCTCTCAGATCAGTGTTTGGAAAGAAAGATTTCTGTGAGTGTGAATATGGGGCACTTGAAGGACTTTCCCAAGGAAGCGACATCTGAGCTGAGATCGTAAGGATGAGTAGGAATCCACTGGGGGTGTGACTAGTCGGAGGCATCACAGCATATTTAAGGAACCAACTAAAAGCCCTTGTGGCTGCTGCTCAGAAAGTGAGCTTGGTTCTAGGCCAGAGGGGTGGGCAGGGGCCAGACCACACAAGGCCTGTTGGAGGTCTGATTAAGAAATTATCACCCTTTACTTCAAGTTCAAAAGAAAGCCATCGAACAGATCTTCACTGAGTGTGTGCCACAATGCGATTTGCATTTCAAATATATCACTCCCTTTGTTCTTTAGTTCATTCATTCTGCTGGTAGTGGTCCCCACCCTTTCTGGCACCAGGGACCGGTGCTCCTGTGAGAATCTAATGCCTGATGATCTGAGGTGGAGCTGAGGCGGTGATGCTAGCGCTGGGAGCGGCTGCAGATACAGATGAAGCTTCACTCCCTCTCCCGCCGCTCACCTCTTGCTGTGTGGCCCAGTTCCTAACAGGCCATAGACCAGAACTGGTCCGCGGCCCAGGGGTTGGGGACCCCTGCTGCTGGTATTTACCTACCGAGAGCCAACCAGATACAAAGTTCTGTTCTAGACACTTTGGATACAGCAGTAACAGGCAGACAAACATCCCTACCCTCTTAGATGGTGGGCTCACTTTCCAGTGGGGCTGAGTCAGGTAATACACAAAATAAATAAGTATGTAGTTATTAACTACCGATCATATTTCCAAGTACCAGGCACTGTACTGATCAGTGGCCCCATAGACTCTGTGTTGGTTGCTCCACTTGGTGGAGCAGGGCCCCCCAAGCTGCTCTTTGGCATTGGGGGTTGGAAAGGCCAGGGGCCATGAAGCCTTGGGGAAGGCTGGGCAGAGGCTCATCTCCATATAACTGCCTGCTGCACCAGCTAGGGCTGAAGCTTACTCCCCACAGCAGCCCTGTGAGGGCGGCATCTCATCATCCCCACTTTAGAGATGAAGAAACAGGCGTGGTGAAGGTCCGTGGTACTCTGAAGGCGCAGGCTAAGGCCTGAAACAGCATCCCCGTGCACATTGTACACTCCTGCCCCCTTAAGCTGCTTGACCTTCAGTGGATCTGGTGAGCCCTTCAGAACCAGCATCCCCCACCCCGGCATTATTAGCCACCTAAGAGGCTTTGAAACCCAGAGGAGGGATCATAGTTGTCTGAGAGCTGCCAGGTACGCAGCAGTGTCTCACCACACCACAGAGAGCCAAGTTGTGTTCAGGGATCCGTGTACAGGGATCCAGCTGCCCTGGAGCCCGCGGTGTACACACAGGACACTGTGCTAGGTATTGGGTGGGTAGAGGCTTTCGAAGGGCTGGCATTGTGCTCCTATTTTACGTTTGGAGCGGGTCAGGCAGCGGCTGGCATGTGGGAGGAGCTATAACGCTGATGAGTGGATAGATGGATTGCCCTGAACATGGGAAGAGCAGGGCTTTTACAGTCAGCTGTGTGACCCTAGACAAGTTACATCCTGGGCTTCATGTCACTCTTTGGGAAAAAAGAAAATATCTAATTAATTCAAAGAGTTGTGGTAGAGGTTTAATGAGATGAATGTTTCTTCCAGTGCTATCACAAAGTGGGTACTCAGTTAAATGTTCACTCCCTTCTGTTTCACAGATAAGGGAACTAGCACAGAGCGTTTACTTAACTGGATAGTCATTCATTTAGCAAATGTGAGAGTCCATGCTAGGCACCAGGCTCATGTGTGAGCAAAGCAGAGAGGTGCTTGCATCTGAGAACGTACCTTCCAGTGAGGGGGATGGGGAGTAAACAGACAGACAAAGAAGGGGATCTTCAGATTGTGCTAAGTGCTGTGAGGGAAGAGTGACAGAGGGCAGTCTGACGTGGCCAGAGCCGGTTAGCTCTTTGTTCCACACGCACGCTGCTCTGTGAGCCGCTCTGCTGCGTGCTGGGGCCATAGCGCAGGCCCAGTGCCCAGGAGCTCACAGTCTGGCAGAGCAGGGCTGGTGCTCTGAGGAGGAGGTAGGAGGCACACCCATAGGTGAATGGGTTGCACAAGGCCAAGTGTGATCCTTTCTCCTCGGGTCATGCCAAGTGGGGCATCGTCCTGCAGAGGAGGGATGAGCATGAGCAGAAGCTCCAGGGACTGAGCTGGTGTGGCTTGCTCTAGGAGGAAGCGGGGCAGGGTGACCAGAAATGAGGTAGCAAAGCGGAGGGGCCCCATGTGTAGAATTTCAGTCAGGTGGCTGCTGAGCTGAGGGAGTCCCAGAGCCATTCTCTTTCCCAGCCCTGTGCTGAGTGTGCGTGTGTCTGTGTGCCCACAGGCCGGCCGTACCGGGGAAAGCCGAGTGACATGTGGGCCCTGGGTGTGGTGCTCTTCACCATGCTCTACGGCCAGTTCCCCTTCTACGACAGCATCCCACAGGAGCTCTTCCGCAAGATCAAGGCTGCTGAGTACACCATCCCTGAGTGAGTGCTGCCTTCCTGGGGAGGGGCAGAAACAGCGCAGAGAGGCTTGGAGTCCTGGGTCCGCGAGACCCAGCACCAGCCCACCCCTCCTGAGCCCTCACCCTCTTCTTCTCCGAATCAGGGATGGGCGGGTTTCTGAGAACACTGTGTGTCTCATCCGGAAACTGCTGGTCCTTGACCCCCAGCAGCGCCTGGCCGCCACTGATGTCCTGGAGGCACTCAGTGCCATCATCGCGTCATGGTAAGCGAGCGGTGCCCGGCCAGCGCGGGGCTGGGTTCTGCCCTCCCACCCAGAGAAGCGGCCTGAAGTTGGGCCTGTTTCTCTCCCAGGCAGAGTCAGGTTTCCAGATTTCCCCGTGGGCCAGAGTAAGAGGGTGCCAGCTGCGCTCAGGGTCGAGCACCTCCCATCTTCCAGTTGATGCCAACAATGATGGGCATTATCTCACTGAGTTCTTATCGTAGCCTGTGAGGTAGAACTTGACTCCCATTATTGGTTGAGGAAACTGAGGCTCAGAGAAGCAGAGTCGATCATGTCAGGAAGGGGCTGAACTGGGACCCAGCCCAGGTCTGTTGGCTCCAGCCAAGTCTTAGAGCAGTGAAGACCTGGCCCTTCTGGGAAGCAGGGGCTGGGGGCTGCCTGGAGCCAACCTGACGTGTCTGCCCCCCCTGCAGGCAGTCCCTGTCATCTCTGAGCGGGCCTTTGCAAGTGGTCCCTGACATCGATGACCAAATGAGCAACTCAGACAGCTCCCAGGAGGTGAGTTGGGAAGGGCAGACAGGCCGTTACCCAGGTCCTCAGGGACCAGACTCAGAGGAGGGCAGGTGGGACAGGGGTAGGGATGGCAGCTCCCGGCAGGCTGCAGGGCCTTTTCCGCTTTGTCCCCAGTCCTTGGAGTAGAAAAGGGAGACCTAAGTCCTCGCCCTGAGCTGCCTGGGGCCTGCCTTGTGTCTGGCTTAGTTGGTGGTTCTGTGGCCTGAGAGAGGGCTGTGGGGCAGCTGAGGTGGAGACCCCACAGCAGGGAGGTCCCACAGCACCCAGCCGGGCCCTCCCTTAGCTTCCTCTCACTACCCGAGTGCTCTGCCACGTGTCAGACTTTTAAACAGTCACATTTCTCTGCCCCTCTGACTCACAGGGTTCCCTCTCAACCTTCCTGCTTTTCATTTTTCAGATGATTCATTTTCTCCCAGTTTTCTCTTCCCCTCTTCTCTGCACTGGAGAAAGTGCTGGGCCCAGGGTGGGGGCAGACACCTGGGCACTAGGGAGCAGCTAGTGGTGATCTTAGGGTGCCCCCTGGAGGGCAGAGCTTGGCCAAGCCCTTGGAAGGGACACCGTAAGGACCCTTACTCTCTGGCCCACCCTGGAGTAACACAGCAGAGCCTCCTGGCCCTTGAGAAGAGACAGTTCTAAGCCCTACCCCCACCCCACCAGCTCCCACCCCTCGCATGACTGTTCAGCAGCTAAAAATTATCATCACTAGTACACAAGGAATGCCCACCCCAGCACATCTCATTCAATCCTGTGTGGCCTGTGTTCTTATCCTCATTCATAAGAGGAAACTAAGGTTCAGAGAGATAAAAATCATTTCCCCAAGTCACACAGGTTGGGACTATTAGAGCTGAGCCTTGAACCCAAGTCTGAGTTCATGGCTCTGCTTTCCCCCTCTGCTGATGAGCACAGGGACCTGAGTTTGTTAACTGTGTGCCTGGGCCACTCCAGGAGGCTCAGCGTGGGGCAAAATAAAGAAGCAGGGTCACCCTGGTGCTGAGCACCCAGCCCCAGACCTCTCTTTTAACACTTGACCTGCACTGGCCTGCCAGGCTCTCGAGAACGGCAAGGGGAGATTACTGTGTCACTCCACAGGCGAGGAAGCTAAGGGTTCTTAGATAATGTGACCTCTCCCAAAGGCAGTGAGTTAGGAAGCGGGGATCTGGCTCAGATCAAGGTCTGTGCTTCTGCTGAAGCGATACCCAGGGCGGCCAGCAAAGCGAGGTCCAGGTTGGCTGGAGGGCTTCAGGGGCCCACGCTCTCTGCCACCTAGCTACATTGGGGCCAAGAGTGTGGTGCCTGGGAAGTAGGGGGCTTCTCGAGCCAGGCCATCTGACGCTAACTCCCTTGCTTTTCTCTCTCCATCTCTGTCTTTCTCTTTCTGTCCTTCTCCGCCTCACAGGCAAAGGTGACAGAGGAGTGTTCCCAGTATGAGTTTGAGAACTACATGCGGCAGCAGCTGCTGCTGGCCGAGGAGAAGAGCTCCATACACGAGGCCCGGAGCTGGGTACCCAAGCGGCAGTTTGGCAGCGCGCCACTGGTGCGCCGGCTGGGCCACGACGCACAGCCCATGAACCCCTTGGACGCAGCCATCCTGGCACAGCGCTGCCTACGGAAATAGCAGCCTCAGGCAGGGGCGCCAGCACCACCCGCCACCTCTTCCTGGCCCCCAGCCAACGCCCGGCTGTGGGGCCAGGCCCTGGAGTGCTGAACTCTCTCCCAGGCTGCCACAGGGACAGGCAGGGACAGCCCAGGTCACACGTGGGGTCAGCAGAGGTACCACAAAGCTACCTTTTGGAATGATTGCTTGATTGTTTGGTTTTTTAATCTGAGAAGCCTAGATAACTAATCTGCTTTTAATCATGACGTTTTAATCTACCTCTGTCTCTTTAACCATGCTGTCTCTGGACTGAGTGAGAGGGAGGAAGAGGGAGCCCGCCCAGCCGCCCTGCTCCCCACAGTCCAAATAAGCTGAAAGTGCAGCTCGCTGCTGGCTCCCAAAACGAATGCCCACTCCCCACTGTTCTCCCAGGCCCCCTCCCACTGTCAGTTTTCCTCTTTCCCCTTCGAACCCCAGGCCCCTCAGTCCAAGCTTTGGAAAACCTTCACCTCATCTTAAGCGGAATTCAAATATATTTATTTTTATACTGAAACCAACTTCTCTCCCATCTCTAGGTGGCTCGCTCTTGGCCACTCCCTGCCCCCAGCCAGCCTGGCTGGACAGCAGTGAGTCCACAGCCCACAAATGGGCCCTCTCCTCGCTCCCAGTCTCAGAAGCCCCTTCTTGCCGGTCCCTCTCCACCTCCAGCCCACCAGTCCCCCTTAGTTCTGGTGATGGGGGGGCCTTTCTCCACTTGGTTCTCTTTCTCCCATCTCAGTAGCTCCTCTGAGGTGCTGTACACTTGCATTAACCCTGGTTTCCTTCTCCACCCCTCACCGCGGTACTGAGATGTGAATGGGGTGCCTGGTGGTTGGGCTGCGGAGGGGTGAACTGGGCTGGCCATGAACAGGTGGGCCTTGGCTACACGCCCTCTCGCTCCCCACATCCCAGTCTGTATTCAGAGAGTGATGGAGGTATCTCCCCGCCTGCCCTTGCCTCATAATAGATACGGTGTCTCTTCCCAGCAGGCGCTGGCCGGGTCCTTTGTGGGGGCTGCAAGGCTCGTGGGGAGAATCGTAGTAGGGACTGGGGGGCCCCGTCTGGCTTGAGAACAGCCCTGCTGCCCTTTTTGAGCCGAGATTTTGAAGTGGATGCCCGTCTTGCCAGAAATGCTGTTCTCACCAGAATGCCCTTCCCGTCTACTGATCCTCACTGGACTTTGGCCCTGCCCAGTTCCAAGCAAAGACCTTCCCCTGGCCTCCCCCTGGCCTCCCCACCAGACCCCTAAGAGAGGCTGATTGTTACCTTCCAGGCAGCCCCGGGCCCTCAGGCCCTTCCTGCCTGTCCTTACTCCCCAGTGGGAAGGTGACCGCAGTCTGTATGACCCTGTTTCCCAGTGTGAACTGCTCCCCTCCCCAAAAGCTGACTCACTGTGAGAGACTTGGGCAAGTTCCCAAACCTCCTTGTGCCTCAGTTTCCCCATCTGGAAAAAATGGGGCCACCTCTTGCCAGCAGTAGCAGGGCTGCCCACACCCCTTCCTCCCTGTGCCCCCATCTCAGCACTTGGGCACCCCGTGCCTCTGCCTCAGTGGGTCTGAGGGAGCCTGCCTGAGCCCAGCACTTACTCCCCTGAGCACCAAGCTCTGCCTCTTGTCAGCTGTCTGGCCACTGAGAGCCAGGTCTCGTGCTGTGGGGTTGGGGATGCCCTCTTTTCTATATTTATTTCAAAAAGAAGTCTCCTAAGGGAGTAGAAATGCAGTCCAGCCCAGGGCTCCCAGCCCCTGTGACTGTCCTCCTGTGAGGGGCTCCACTGTGCCCCTTGCCCAGCAGTCTGCCCAGACCCTCCAGGCCTGCTTGCCACGTGTGGTCTTTCTTCTCCTTTTCAAAGCAATATCCTCCAGGTTTGCAAAGCCCTATCAGACAGTGGTCCCTTCCCAAGGTCAACCCATGTGTCTGATTACATTTCTAACAAAGCAAATGAGAGGAGGTTGGGTCTGCCCTCACTGGGTGTCACACGCTGAGAGAAGTCCAATTGTAAAGAAACAAAACAAAACAGAAAAAGTCACAAAAAAGTTTGTATAAAGACATATTTTTGTACTACATGGGGACTCTTCCTGCATGTCAGCAATAAAACTTCCTGATCTGGAGCCACTGTGGCCTGTGCCGTCTGCCATTCTTGCCCTCCTCACCTGTGTCTCCATCTCTTCCACCAGATTGGTCTCCTTCCTATCCCAGCCAGGGAGGGCAGGATTCCTGCAGCTCTTGGCTCTACTACCAGGTGCAACGGATAAGTGCCCCCTACCCAGGCAGGCAGCCAGCCAGCTGCATGCCATCACCTGCCATCACCGGCTTGACTGGAGGAGGGGACCAGAACTACCCAGCCTCTCGCTAAGTGTTCAAGGGGAACTCCCTGCTCGGCTTGGCTCAGCCCCAGACCTGTGCCGGAAGGTGTCCCGGAGAGGCTGCTACTGGCAGAGTATTGGTCCTGTCCCCCTGCCAAACCCCTATTTGGGTTGGGGGCAAACTGAGTCAGAGACTGCCCATGTGCCCACATGCCCATCCAGGGCAGCTGGGGTAAAAAGGGCCAGGCCCTTTCCTGAACCACCTGCTCCTTCCCTCCCCTCCATAGGAAGCCAAGGGGCTTCCTTCCTTTCTTCTTTCCTTCCTTTGCCTAATTTTAGACCTTGCAGATTGAGCATTGGAGCAATGAAGCTAGAAGTAGGCTGGCCCCTCCCCCAGCACACCACAGGGCTCAGGCAGATGCACCTTTGTGTTTAAGAACCCCTACAACGGGCCCGGGTCACCTAAGGAGCAGAGAGCCACGCAGGTGGAGCCCCTTCTCAATCAAGTGTCCGCACAGCCAGAGGGGATGCCACCTCTCCAAGATGTGGGAAGGCCCTGGTTCTCTGCAAGTACTTCAGAGCAGGCCCCCGAGTCCCTCATCCCTACCCTCACCCCACATCCCCACACCCACCTCAGCAGCCAGGTGGCTCCCCATCTTCCTGGCTACTCCCAAAATCATTCGCCCATTTCATCTGGCCCATACCTTATCTGTTGAGCTGTCCTGGATGCACTGCCAGAAGGGGCCCTCACTCCCAGCCCAGCGCAGCCGCACTCCAGCTCTTCCAGCTTCCTTCCGCCCCTAGGCCTCATCTCCATTTCCCACCTCCCTCCTGCCCCGCCCCCCTCCCCACACCTGATCTGCCTCTGTTCTGCGCACAGGTATCTCCTAGGCACCTACACCTGTCAGGCTTACATTCAGAAATACCCAGCAGCAAGCTACATGCGGGGAGGGATTCTCGCTCTTGTATCCTCAGCACCTAGAACTGGCCTGGCACACACAGCTCACATGCCAGAACTGTTGGTCTATTGAGCTATTTAGATGGCTCTCTACCAGTTTCACTGTGAGCCCCGGAAGGAAAAGAAGGGAAAAGTACCAGAAAGGCGGGTGCGATCAACAGCCTCCTATGCTCCTGGGAAGTCAAATAAGAACCGAGAAGTTTCCATCAGGTGTAGCCACTGCCTGGGCTTCACGTCCTGAGGGAGAGCAGCTTCAGAGAAGCTGGATGAGCTATGGAGCTACCGAAAGTGGTAAAGGAAGTGAGGAAATGGAGTCTTTCTCGGTGTTGTCTGAGTTATCCAGCCTCCAAAGTCGAGTCAGCTGTGTGATTTCTCTCTCGCTTTCTCCCGCACCCCACATCCAATCCACTGCTAACCCTGTCGGTCACTTCTCACAGCTCCCTGCAACCACCCTGCCCTGTGACAGCCCAGCCATACAGCAGCCAGAGACCACCCTGTCTGAGCCCCCTTCTCGCTTCCTTGCTCCGTCCTGCCCTGTGACAGCCCAGCCATACAGCAGCCAGAGTGAGACCTTCAAAAGTCCAGTGTTGTCCCTCTCCTTATACCCCCTTGATGGCTTCTGTCCCATGCAGGACCACATCCCTGGTCTGGCTTATAAAGCTGTATGCAAGGCCCTAACTTGGCCTCCCTAACTTCTCTGTCCCTCACCCCGCACCCATTGTCCCAACCACACACACAGCCTCTTTGCTGACTGACCAAGCCAAGCACAGCTTCCACCTCGAGGCCTTTTCATCGCATACGCTTTCTGTAAGGCTGTTCCCCAGATATTTGCATTTCTCCCTCTCTCACTTCCTTCTGCTCAAAATGTCACCTCCTCAGAGAGGCCTTCCGTGACCATGTCCACCTGGTCTTCTCTAACCCCTTACCCTGCTTTATTTTTTCTTCATTGTACTTATCACAGCCTAACATTATATTATCTATTCGATTATTGATTATATCCGTCTCCCCTACTTGAATGTTGAGCTCCACGAGGGCAGAAATCTTTTCTGTGTCCATATGAGGTCGGGGATTTGGGAACCAGTCATCACAGTGACTGAGGGTGCCGTGGACATTTAGAGGGTGGGAGCCAGGGACTCCAGACAACCCCACAAGGAAGGCAGATTCTACATCCTGCATGACATGAGTGAAAAACTTGTTTATAATTACCAGAGCCAAGACTCTAACTTCACTTTATACATACATAGAAAGGATTTGTGTATACATCATGTATACTGGATTTTTAGAGAATGTAACTACTGTGTAAAGCGGAGGAAATTTGTACTTCGTTCGTTCAGAACTTTACCAGAAACTCGTCACTGTTTCAGACACTGACACCACAATATCCCAGCATCGGTCTGCACGCGTAGCTGTCACCTCAGCAATTGATCACTTCACAAATATATATCATTACCCTTTATTTCTTTTATAAGACATATATATATATACATATATATGTTTTTTTAAATTAGATGTGGAGGTGGGTATATTAGCCATCAATTTCATTCAGGAGCATGAAAAGAGCAATCCAAAGACTCACGGAAAGGCAACTTTGGATCTGACAGGATAGAGAACCATGACCTTTGGAAGACTGGTTGGAAACATGGGATCTGAAGTTCAAATACACTTATATCCATGTGACCGTACAGATGTCCCTTAACCTCTTTGAGCCTCGCTTTTCTCCTCTGTAAAATGGGAGTCATGTTGCAAACTACACAGGTTTAACTAGGAGGATACGAGAGTTTGAAGCTGCATAGCAGTTAGTACTGTGCCAGGTACCAGTAACCATTACTGTTATTCATTTTGCAAACTCTCACAGAACCCTCTTCCCAGCATCTGTCTCAGATGCTGGAGAGTGGCATTCAGAGGACTTAGAAGGCCTGGAATGAGTTCTCCTCTTCCTTCCAAGACCTAGGCCGCCTCTGACCCCCAGCGGGTGAGGTCCTAGTATCAGGAACAGAGCAGCCAGGGCCAGCCCCCAGCTTGGCCACTAGGGAAAAGAGCAGTCGGCTTTGCATTGGACCAGCCCCCTGAGACCCCTCCCAGAGGCTCTGGATCTCTCAGCCCCCTGTGCTACTATCAAGACCTGTCTTCCCCATGTTTCATCTTAAGATCACTCTCTGTGCCTCCCAAGGTGACAAATCTCTAGTCTCACAAGCAGACAGGAGGACAGAGAGGCAGCCAACAAGCAGCAGGTGGGCAAGTAGCAGGTCAGTCTTAGGCCGACAGGGAGGAAAATCAGCAGGTGGACAGAGGGGATGTGAGCTAGGCAGGCAGGTGACAGATATGCAGAAATCCCCGCCAACACACCAGGAAAGCAGGTGGCAGGGCAGACCTACAGACATGACAGTAGGCAGGGAGAGGCAGGCAGATAGGTAGGTGGCCAGGAGGACACATGGACTGTGTGGATGGCCACATGGGCCAAAGGCTTTGGACACCTCCCCCAGGGCCTCCAGGAACAGCCAGAAGCTTCTTCCAACCCTCTAGGGCAAGGCTGCCACTTCTGCCACCTGGCCTGGCTTGGCCACATGCATCCCCCTGGAGAACACAGCAATGTGGTTACAGTGTGTCCCTCTCTCTCAAGGGACCAGCAACCATCTCAACCCCTACTCTTCTCCAGCATGGCCACCTGCTTCACCAGGGCTGAGTCACGCTGACCCACTCCAAACACACATCACACGCCAACCCAGACACACTTTTGTCTGTAGGTAGCAATACTCAGAGATATGCATAGCACAAGGATGCACAGCTTAACACAAACATATCCAAAATCTTACAGCCCCCATACACAAAGAGGCACATGTGTGGACCCTCACAGAGACTCAGGTATGCGCCATACAGAAGCATAACATCTGCCAACACCCAGTTTGTTCGCACAAGCACAGCCACAGCACACACTCATCTTCACATGGATAGTAGGTATTCAGCATATTGATATAACCATGGAAACTCACCGATAACCACAGCCAGTGGGCAGATTCTGGCCTCACCTTCACCTCTCAGCCTTATTTAACAAGACTGATCACGTTCTGGTCCTGGCCAGGTCTTCCTCCTGCCTCCGTTGTCTCTCCTAGCTGACTCCTCCTCCACAGGACCCCTCAATGTTGGAGCACCCAGAACTCAGGCTTCAGACCCCTTTCTCTTCTCTCCCTGCCCCTTAGGCGATCTCACTCACTTCCGGGGTGTTCAATACATCTTTGGTATTAAGGACTCGCAAAAACATTTCCAGCACAGACACTTGGGGCTCCGCCTGCCTATCTGACACCACCCCCTGAATATCTACTGGACATCTCAAATCTATCTAAAATGAAACGCAGATTGCCCAAAACCTGCTCCCCATCTAAGTTTTTCTCTGGTGTCCAAGCCCAATATCAAGCAGTCATTCTATATTCCTTCTTCCTCACACGTACGCCCCATGCAGGAAGTCCTGTCCAGAATAGTGCCTGAATCTAATCCTGTCTCACCTCCTCCACTGCCCATCCCTGTCCAAGCCCTGGGCTATTGCTGGCCTGGATGGCCATCTGCCTACTCACTGCTCTGCTTCAACTCTTGCCCTGCAAGTCCCAGCCCATGCTGAGTCCCTACAGCGATCTCTCCAAAGTGTAGCACTGAACCATGACACTCACCTGATTAAAACTCCAGGGGCTCCCCACACACTCACAATAACATCTAAGCTCCTCCAATGGGCCTGCAGCATTTTCAAGGTCACCTCATCACTCCCTTGCACCTCTCTAGGATCCAGCTCTCGCCTCAGAAGTCCCCCCTCGAGATCTGGCCAAGTGTTCTCCATCATGTTTCCCTATTCCATCCTCTGAGCATTCAGCAGCACCTAGAGTCTCTTCTTCATGTATTGTCTGTCTTTCCACCTACTGTCAGCTCCATGAGGGCAAAGATTTGTGTCCTGTTCACTGCTGAAACCCCATTACGAGGGAAGTGCTAGGCAGAGTGCTCAGTTAACAATTGTTGACTGGCGGCTGTATGAATTTATACACAGGCATATCAACCCCCACAAAATGCTTACGCAGATATAATAAGAAAACAGACACACAAATATACAGATCTGGGCAGAGATACCACCACATGCCCACAAAAGAGATTAAACAGCCACGAAGACACCCAGGAGTCCCTTTCCCACCCCCATTGGAGTCTTAGTCCTTTCTCCATCTAGACCTGCCCTCTGCTTGAACCCAGTCTCAAGACTTGGAATGGGGGGGTCTCCAGCCTGGACAGAGAGGGGTGGTCACTGGCCCAGAGGCCTCAGGCAGCGCCTTCAGCTATGTCTGCAATTTCCTCTCCCCCCTTCCTTCCCTCCTCCTCCCTAAGGCTCCCGCCAAGAAGGCCTCCCCCTCACCCCAGCCCCAGCACAGGAAGGGGGGCCCACAGGGGAAGGGGGCTGGGAGTCTGTGCAGGAAGAAGACCCAGACCCACACACTGATCACACTACACATTGCATGCACAAGCCCTGAGCCCATGTGTAAAAGCATGTGCACAGGCAAGTTTAGGCAGGAGGGAAAGGCATCTCTGCCACACACTCTGGTGCAGAACACAGAGGCCAGCAGGCTGGGTTCTGACTGGCCTGGGCCTGGCTGGAAGCCCGAGTCCAGCATTCATTAACCCTGCTGACCAGAGCTGCGCCAGCTGGACACACTCACTGCCTGGGCCCTGGGAGGAGGGGATGAGAGTCCTCTCCCTGGATTGTGGGTTGAGCGTCTGGGAGAGGGCTGACATCTGGGCTGGGGGAGAGGGGCAGTCTTTTCTGGGTGAGGGGGCTTCCTGGGAGGAAGAGCAAGGCATAGGGTTAAGAGCCCAGCCAGGTTCTTCCGTCAGAGCGCAGTGGGTTCAGATGGTGGCCATTTGGTAAAGTTTTTCAATCTCTCTATAACTCAGTTAGTGTACTTAACTGCCACGTGGGGATAATGGCACTGCATTATAGGATTATTAGAAGGATTAAATGGAAGAATATTATAAAGAGTTTAGCCCATTGCCTGGCACCTAGGCAGAACTCCATCCTCATCATTATCATTATTGTTATTAGCAACCTGGGGGCGGGTCCCTGGAACCGGCCTCCCCAGTCGTTTCCTGCGGGGGACGCGGGGGACGCCCGCAGGCCTCTCTCCCCCTCCTCTC